AACATTTGCAAATGCCCAAAGGATATTTAAGCTAATTCGCCAGGCAAGCATGATCACCATGACCTCATGTAAAATGAGCTCTGTCAATTTCTCTCCCATAACACTTGGGTAAAGAACAAACTGACCTGCTTCCAGCTTTTTTTGTACTTTCTTTTGCAAAGTATTGCCATCAATATTAGCAGAAAATATTGATGGAATGATTGCTACCTTGCAGCTTCTTCTCACGTTATTCTTGGCAACTGCTATGCTCTATTTTTGTTTTCTGAGTTTTACTCATCATTTCACGTCTTGCTTATTTATTTGGTAACAACAACAATTGCTCTATCACTTACCAAGCACTTGCTGTGTGCCAGACACTTGCTATATGGCAGGCATTAGGTTAAGCACGACACATGACTAGACTCATTTAATCATTATCACCCCATATCATGAGAACTACCACCATCTCCATTTTACAGATGAGGAAACTGAGCTTTGGCTAAAGAAACACTGAACATTGGCTAAATGAACACACTTGGCAAGTGGTCAAGCTTGCCTCCAAAGTCTCAATTCTGACCTTTCTGGCATATTGCTTCTTTTCTTGTCCTCCCCAAAGATATATCTTTCCACTGCATGCACTGCATTTCTCTGCTCAGCTAGTCATCTGGTCCTGCCATGTGGATCACTTTTCAGCACGGCGTGTTTTTTGTGCATAGCACAGTAATTAGGCATATGGACTCTGAAGTCACACTGCCTGAGATGGAATCCTAACATGCCACTATTTCCCAGCTTTTTGTCTCAGCAATTTACTTAACTTTTCTGGATTGCCCCAACTATAAAATAGGGATTATAATTTTATCTGAGGCATTGAATTATTGGAATAACTAAATGGGTTAACAATTATCTTTATAAATCACTGAGTATGGTTCCTGCCACATAGGAGGTACTTGGTAAATATTGTTTGTTGTTAAAATTTTCAATGAATGTAACTTGCTTTCCATTAAGAGTCTAAGCTGATTAAGAGGAAAGATTTTCTGCCTTTGCAATTCCTCAGCACTTAGCAAGTCACTCCAGAGTAGCTCATTCCACTAGGCTATAGTTTTAAAGATTTCACATTGGTGATTATCTTTCAGGGAATAGGGAAGATTCCAATTATTTTAACCATCATGACCAGAGTCACCCTGTGTGATCTGAAATGCTGAGCTGGTAAGTAACTTATGAATCACAGTGTGCCCTTAGCTAATATGTATATTTAACTCAACCATCCTTCTTAGAGCACATACTCTGCAGAAACTTGCAGGTCCTGGGGAAACCGAGATAAATCCTGAACAGTCCCTGTAGTCCTCTCTCTCAAGAAGACAAACACTGCACTGATGAGATATACTAACTTGAACTATATCCAGAAATGTCAGTGGGGAAAAGGCTGTAGGGAAACATGTTATAATTTTAAAACAGCCATGACTTATTGTCTATTTATATTTAGTTCAACCCAGAAAGTGGCAGCTCATGCAAAGCATAATTAGTATTTCTTTTTTGCTCTTTTTCTTGGGATTGGGATACAACATGACAAAGTGACCTTGAGTAAAAAGTATGATCTGATAGTCATCTGGCATTAGAAGAGCACATCCTGTTTACCTAGAACATTTAATCTGACTTTGTAAAATCTACAAGTCCCAGGAAGTCAACGTATCTATAGTGAAGTCAGTGGGGTTGTTCCAATTTAAACTGGAAAATCAGTGCCATTGTTGGAGGTGTCGGAAATCTCCCCTTCATTCTCACATGAAGATGTGTCTGTTCCTCTGATAAACTGCAGCAGCCAGAATTCTAATGATCTGCACTATTGCTGGTACCTTTGGCCCTAATTTCTTGGCTTCATAAACAGGCATTGCTTCTGCTTCTCAATTTTGCCACTGTATCTCACATAGCCAAGACTCTGTGATTCTCAACCCCAGCTGCATTACAGCATCACGTTGGAGATTAAAATCAACAAACAAACAAAGAAACCAACCATGTCCTGGCCCTATCCTCAGAGATTCTGATTCAGTTATTCTGGCAAAGTGTCTGGACATTGTTTTCTTTTTGTTAAGTTCCTAGGGTGACGCCGATGGACAGCAGGTGATAGAACCTACTAATATCTGGACAAGGCAATAGTTTAGTTCACCTTTAGATTTACAGCAAAATATCTACCAGTAGCTACAAAGCTGACAGAATCCAGACAATCACATTAATTCTCTATTCCATATCATTTTTATCCTCACAGTACCGACAAAAAAATGGGGCTCAGCTGGGCACGGTGGCTGACCCTGTAATCCCAGCACTCTGGGAGGCTGAGGCAGGTGAATCACCTGAGGTTGGGAGTTTGAGACCAGCCAGATCAACATAGAGAAACCCCATCTCTACTAAAAAATACAAAATTAGCCAGGCATGGTGGCATATGCCTGTAATCTCAACTACTCGAGAGACTGAGGCAGGAGAATCACTTGAACCCAGGAGGCAGAGGTTGAAACGAGCAGAGATTGTGCCATTGCACTCCAGCCTGGGCAGTAAGAGCAAAACTCCATCTCAAAAAAAAGAAAAAAGGAAAAAGAAAAAAAAAATGGGGCTGCAAAGACAGCAATCTGGGCTTCTTTTCATCTCAGTCCCTCAAAAAGATTCATTGTGCCATGTAAGGCAAATATATTAACCTGTGAACCTCTTGCTTTTGTATTCCATTAGATGAGAATAAGTTACTTGCTTTATGGTGACATGGTGAAAGAAGAGGCATAAAAGTCTTTTGATAATAAAAGAGTTGCTTATAAATACAAGAGATTGAATGCATAATATTTAGAGGAGACAGATTATTCTCATTAAGCAGACGAGGTGGGAACCCATGTGGTATATTTTTAGTTGCTCCAAAATGTCCCCAAGTGCCCCAAGCACAGTAAGTGAGGTAACTATATTGCAGTCATTGAAACCGCACTCAGTGAGTGGGCAGTGCTCATCTACAGGGCCTCAGTGGAAGTGTGTCATGTGGCTAACACTGTGCATTAGGGCAAAATGATTCATCAGAGTGGCCAGGGATGTGGAGAAGGGACAAAGGCAGGCAAATTTTACAGAATGTCCAAAATCAGCAAGGCCTAATGGCCCTATAGTTTGGGGTGGAGAAACCTTGGAAAGAACAAGAAAATATAAAATAGCTAATGAAAGTGTTTGTAATTATCTTTGGATTGGACATTGGCTATTTATACCTTCTTCCCAAAGACTCTCTCTATAAGGTGTATCAACTTGTTCATAGTGATGTTTTCTTTATTTGCTTGTCTCTTAACAGTTGGTGGGGAGGGGAAGGCCACCTTTCTACAGAAGACTAAAAGAGAAGGAAAATGAACCCATTTGTTAAATGCATTTATTATCCACTGAATAAAAGGACAATCTCGCCTACCCTCACTCTATCTTCTCTGCGTCAATCACTTTAACTGTCAATCTAGCTATTATCCATCTAGTTAATTTTCTGTTATTTTATTTTCTCTTCTTTCATTTCTATAATAAGAAAGCCTTCAAGGGGAAAGCCCAAATTGCTAATTGGCAAATCTAGAATTTAATCCTTAGGAGATTATTAATATTATTAATTGTCAAAGCCAAAACCAACACAAAATAATAATGGTAAAAATAAGTAAAATTCTTTTAGACATTTCTAAGAGTTAAAAGAGCTATTTATGTTTCCCATGTATCCTTTTATTTTTTCACTGAATGGAAGGAGTTTAGGATCATCACATGAACTTGACCATGTGAGAATTTATTGTAGTCCTGTGCCCCAGTTTATCCTAAGAACTCAGAAGAACAGAAAATAAAGCCTTTAACTGGTAACACAAAAAAACAATTGATAGAATAATCTTTGAGCAGAGAGAAAGAGAGTGTATATTGGGGGTGCAGAGCTTGAAAAATAGTTAAGAGAAGGCTGCCTGCAGTGGCTCACACCTGTAATTCCAGCATTTTGGGAGGCTGAGGCTGGTGGATCACCTGAGGTCAGGAGTTCAATACCAACCTGGCTAACATGGTAAGACTCCAACTCTACTAAAAATACAAACATTAGCAGGGCGTGGTGGTGGGTGCCTGTAGTCCCAGCTACTCAGGATGCTGAGGAAGGAGAATTGCTTGAATTCAGGAGGTGGATTTTGCAGTGAACCAATATCGTGCCACTGCACTCCAGCCTCGGTGACAGAGCAAGACTCTGCCTCAAAACACACACACACACACACACACACACACACACACACACACACACAATCTGTTTAGAGATATTCTTTTACAACAAGAATATATTAAAGTATTATTTGTGTGTTTCAAAACTAAACTGCATTGAAAAACAACTACATTAGCCCTTTATGAAAGGAAGAAAAAAGCTATAGTGAAGTGGGATGGCCTGGCTTTCTGAAGTATGAGAAAACGTGGTTTAAGCAAGCCACACATCACAGAGTTCCTCCTTTCAAAACAAGTCTGTCTGGCCATGAAGCCCCAGCACTTTTACTGACCTCCTTCCTAACGCTGACTACAAACTCCTTTCCTCTCAGTCCTGGGTGTGAGGCTGCAGCCTACATTTTACATTTCTAAGGTCACCCCTTGCCCTTTGGAAGGACTCTCCCAGAGCTGAGTGAATATCCAGGGCTCCTCTTGGCAAGAGCAGCAGCTCAGTAGCTCATGAATGCACTGGTTTTCATAGTATTTCCTTGTTTAAGGATGAGAAAACTTGTTTGGAAAAAAAAAAAGTCTGTTATAAAGAAAGTCCTAAAGGATCCCAGCTAGGTGCTTGATACTCAATTTCCTTTAACATAGTCTTGTCAAATAGACCAACAGTCTGCACAATGCTCTTGACTGGACATACTTTATCTTCCTAACGTACATGTCACAGCTATGCAAAAGAAAAGCAGGCAAAGAGGACCTTAAGTGGACGATGCCTTAAGATAAGTAACATCGGAGCCCCTGAGATCTTGCTACAAAGGGAGGCAGAGACAGAACGACAGACCGTAGTAGGAGAAATGTCTTACCTGTCCAGCACTGTGGTTCCCCTGCTGGCTCCCACTCTGATCAGATGCCTAAAATTTTCCCAGTTTCCACTACAGGGCCATTTGTCCCGCAGCCTCCTGGGCAGGGGGCCTCACGCCCAGCGGAAGGAGAACCAAGCAAGACTCATTTCGAGTTTTCAGGCAGGACTGGCAGTTCCGCTCCCACACTCAGCCTCACTGGGGCCTCCCCCAGCTGTGATCCTCCCCCAGCTGTGATCCTCCGAGCCTCACAGAGTCATCCCTGAGAGCCACACTGCTATTTTAAAAACAAAAAGTGACTTCCTGGTCCTCTTCCCCGGATGGCGTGTGCAATTTCCCTCACGCCCATGGGAAGTCCTTCAGATCCTTCTTATCTGGAAACCTCTCCACCAAGTGGACAGACTTGTTTGGCCAATGTCCCTAGTTCTCACTTTCCTTTCTCCAAAGAGAAAAATATCAGAAAAGCAAAACCAGAGCCAACCAAACATGGGTTAGAGCTAATGGGAAGTGCAAGATGCCTGGTTTCAACTTTTAAAAGATGACCACCAAATTAGATTGTAATTTCAGAGTAGAAGGAAAATTAAGACTCTCGATGAATTCTTTGTCTTTAGCAGTGCCAAGAAAGCAGAGAATAAAAGAATCCTTAGAAGAGGAGAGACCTATAGAAGTTGCTTAGTCCTCCCCCGTGGGAGGGCTGTACCTCAAAAATGCCACATTGGAGGCATGTCCAGTTCTCTTAGGTTTCCAGGGAAACTCTGTGAGTGTTTGTGTATCAAACCATCAATTTAGTGGTACTTAAAATACCACTCGATAACACGGATATTTAAAGATAAGGAGATATATGGCAAAGGCCTGGTTGGCAGGCTGCGTTCAGGTTGTCAGGTTTAAAGATGAATTACAGTCAGCTAATTTTTGAACTGGAAGTGACCCCACTGATCCTCATTTTACAAGAGAGAAAACTAAGACCCAAGGAGAAACCTTCCCAAGATCAGAATACAGATGGGGAATGCTGTTCCACTGCCTACTCTGGAGCTCTGCCCACAGAAAGTGTAATGAATGAGGCCTGGCCTGGAATCTGCTTTGGAAATGAGTGCTTCAGGTGAGAGTATACTCAGAATTCTCTCAGTATCTTCAGAGAATTCCTCATAGTATCAAAGAAAGTACTCTGGAGTCACGCTATAGGAACTGACGCTTTAGACCCACCAATTTTATGTGGGCACGTACACATTACTTGACGCTATTGAGGTTCTATTTTGTTTTGTTTTGTTTTGAGATGGAGTCTTGCTCTGTGGTCAGCCTGGAGTGCAGTTGCATGATCCTGGCTCACTGCAACCTCTACCTCCTGGGTTCAAGCAATTCTCCTCCTTCAGCCTCCCAAGTAGCTGGGACTATAGGTGCCCGCCAGCACATCTGACTAGCTTTTTGTGTTTTTAGTAGAAACGGGGTTTTGCCATGTTGGCCAAGCTGGTTTCAAACTCCTGACCTCAGGTGATCCCCTGCCTCAGCCTCCCAAAGTGCTGGTATTACAGGGTAAGCCACTATTCCTGGCCCTGAGATTCTGTTTTATTATGTGTGAAAGTGGGATATTCATAGTGCTGAGTTTATAGACTCTGCTGAAACTCAAGAGGAAGAGTTTAGCAACTGTTCATTGTTCTCTGGAGCACTGGGCTCCAGTGCCTCCAAGCTCGTCCTCTCTCCCACTCCAGCTGCTCTCCCTTCTTGTCGTGCTATCAGCCTGGGGCAAGTCAGCAACCACCAGCAGGACTTAGGCTTGAGATCAGAGTATTTGGGCAAAAAGAGGATGAACTTCAAAATGTTATTATTTCACTTCTAGGTACTGATTCTCAACTCTAGTCTACACCTTGAATTGGTACACCCAGACTTAAGAAACAGCCTGCTGAGGGACGCAGCTCCTGGCAAATGCGGCCTTTTTCCCTGCTTGCGTTTTGGTTGTTGGGTGCAGCAGGCTCTCTAACATGGAATGGGCGTTGTCAAAGTGGCTGTCCCTTTCCTTCCCTGAGGAGCAATTCTTCTCGCCCACAGTTCCCCGCTTGTTGTTAGGAACAGTCTGTGCTTGCTGCACACACATTACAATGAAAACAAAAGCAAATAAAAAAATGGAACCACCATATGGCCTCGGCAGCAACCCAGAATAAACTGTGGATGGAGAGACCCTGTCCTGAAACTGACTGTCACAGGGGCCGTTTTCCTGAATTCTGAAACATTGATGTTGCTGGCTGAACTCAAACCTCTTCAACCAAACTGCAAATGTAGCCAGAGTAACGAATTCATCAGTCATGTTATCTGTTTGTTAATATGAAGGTCTCTCATGGCTGTAGGGTACAGCCAGAGACAAAGCTCCTACTTTCTCAGGAAGAAATTTCAGCACCAAATAAATACATATTTTCCAGCATGTTCCAAGCTGTTTCACTGCTCTTTCTTCTTTCTTCACACGGGTAACGTTTAGTCTCTTTTTAAGTTCCAGGTGTTATTTCTTCCAATGACCCTCTTATTTCTCCCAACCTGAGCCAAGTATTTCTTTTTTTTTTTTTTTTTTTTTTTTTT